TCCTAGAAAAAACTTTCAACTATATTTTATTATACAATTTTCGATGTTTTCTTTTAAAATATCCAATGTTCCACATGAGGTCTATACGATATATTATGAGAACTCACTTATGTGATGTCCAATACACTCGAGGACCTGCCAATGGAGAGATCTCCTTTGAATTCTTTAGTTTAAAAGAAATGCTACGTTGCTATGAGGCATTGGACGGAAAATTCTTTGCTTACAATGAATCTGAATTTATACAACTGCAATGCACATTACAAAAATATAAACATCGTTATTTTTATTTTTTAAAAAAAGTAAAAAAGAAGAAGAAAGCAATTAACATTTTTGTTCATGACATATTATACTTATGTGATATTTTATAAAAGTTATTAATAAATGGACATAAAATTACCTGATTTTACACCTTACAAGTTCCCAAAACTTATTGGACCACTGAGTGAGATTTACTTAGATAGGGTGTTAAGTTACTTTTCGACCAGCACATTATCGGACTCCGTTAAAATAAATACTTTAATTAATAATTTATCTGATGATATGTTTGATAATATTAAATCAATTTGTTCAAATACTGAGATTTTAGATCTTAAGATAGTGATTAAGAAATTATGATACCTTTTACCAATACAGGATAAAAATATTTTAATCAACAAATTTAACTTATCTTGCCAAAATTCTAGTGAAAACTTTATGCAATGGTACATTAGAGTATCTTAAAAAATAAAAAATGGGATTTTTCAGATGATAGTAGGATTAAAGAAAAATTAAGAACGTCTACCTTAAATGATAAAATAAAATATTAATTTAGTAAAAATACTAATTTAACCTTAAACGAAATGGTGGAGATAGAAAGTAGATTAGATAGCATTAATGATAAACCAGATATTGATAATATAAGTCATGTAAATCACGATAAAAGCTCTGACAAAGATAAAAACTTTAACATTAGAAACAGAAATGACATTTTAGACCTAATAATAATTTTAGAAATAATTTTAGACAAAATTATGATAATAGAGATAATAATTATAATAGGAATAAAAATAGGAATTACGACAATAATAATTTTAGATACTATGATAGGAATTACGGTAATAATAATTCTAGATACCACGATGATTATAATAACTATAACTACAACAACTATCGCTACAACAATAATAATCAATCTAATTATGGTAGAAGTGATACATGGCATGATAATAACCAAAGAAAACAGATCCAATATGGTGACGGAAATCGTAAAATTACCAATCCTATAATAACAATTCAAATAATTATAGAGGTAGCGACAACAATCGGAGGAAGCAAATACAATATAACAACAATGACCATAATATGAATATTGAAGAAATTGTTGAAGAGAAAGTCGACACAAAGAACAAAGATGATAAAGATTTTAACATAAACAATTTATCTGGGGACATGCTTAATAATGAAGATAAGGCATTTATGACTACTTTAAAAATGAATGATATTATTACAACTATGCAAGTCGACACACGATCCAAACACACCATCATACCTCATGGTCTGGTTAAAAAACTTGGTATTAGATATATTAAAAGATCGAGTTACAACTTACCGCTTATGACGGAAATTTAATTAAAATCATCGGCATTACACAAGTTAAAATGACTTATGAAGGTATCTCAAAATATTTACAAGCGGTGGTCGTTGAGTCTAGGAAAAATGCCTTGTTGGGACGTACATGGATTAACGCTTTCAAAAATATTTTAAATAAATTTATAGCAAATAATGACACAAATTACGAAGATGAAATAAAAAAATTGATTAAAGAGTGCGAATCCAAATTGACTAACGGGCCAATCAACAAAGCAAGTGTCAAGTTAGATTTTAAAAGAGATGCCCAACCTAAAATTATACCACCTAGACGTATTCCTTATTCAAAAATTGATCTTGTGAGCAATGAACTTAAAAAATTGGATACATGATAAAATTATTGAGCCGGTGAATGATGTTCGATAGGCAAGTCCTATTGCCACCGTCTACAAAGATGATGGGAGCATTAGGCTTTGCGCTGATTTTAAGGATACCGTAAACCCAGCTCTAGAAGATTTCAAATACCCACTACCACGAATTAATGATCTAATAGCTAAACTTTCAGAAGGAAAGAAATTTACGAAGATTGACTTTAAAAATGCTTTCTTACAGGTCCCGATTGATAAAAGTTGCAGTTTAACTATATCTACGCACAAGAATTATTACCGATTTACTAGACTTCATTTTGGGCAAAAGATCTCATCTGCAATTTTCCAACAGATCATGGACCAAATCTTCGGTGATATGGAAGACGTCATATTTTATAATGATATAACTGGGAAAAACGATGAAGCCCAAAATGCCAGAACCAAAATCAACTGCTGAATTATCAACATTTCTGGGAATGGCTGGCCACTATAGAAAATTTTTGAACATTGCAGAAATAGCCGATCCTCTATATAAAATCGTCAACAAGGAAAAATGGGCTTGGAACTTAGAACACTCTAGAAGTTTTAATGATCTTAAGAAGTTGATTAGTCTTCCTACGGCTTTGACATATTTTAACCCTGAATTACCTATAAGGATAGCCACTGACGCATCTAAATGTGGCTTAGGAGCTGTATTATTTCATACTGAAAAAGATGGTAAAGAAAAACTTATAGCTTTCGCGACAAGAACTTTATTAAAATCCGAAATGAACTATACCAATATTGAGCGCTCAGAAGTGGAATATAACATTAGGAGGATATTATTTTAATATAAAGTACAAAGTCGGTAAATATAATGTTGTTCCTGATTATCTCTCGAGATTACCACAAGAATGTCATGATGAAGCTGTTGAAAATATCACTATAATAAATGAATATGGGGATTTACCTATTAATTTTAATCAAATTCGTGATGAAACTTTGAAAGATATTGAACTAAAACAAGTCATAAACGATATTAAGAACAACAGGCCTATAATGAATAATATTTATAAAAACATTGATTTAGAATTGAGTATAATTAAGGATTGTCTTTACAAAAGCAACAGAATCATAATTCCGTCTTCTATGAGAAAAAATCTACTACAGTCATTACATGAAGGTCACTTGGGAGCAGAAAAAATCAAATCCTTAGCCAAAGATTACATGTGGTGGCCTGGTATAAACAATGACATAGTAATGGAAGTGAAAAGTTGTGACGATTGTAACATATATCATGATAATCCTATAAAGATACAAAAACCATGGGTTTCGGTAACCAAACCGTTTGCATAGATTATGCGGGTCCGTTTTTCACAAAAAATTGGTTGATAATAGTCGATGCCTACAGTAAATTCCCAATTATTGTTCCTGAAAAATATTACGACCGATGTTACTTTTAAAGAAATTTTCAAAACTAATTCGCTATATGGAATACCTGAAACTATAGTTACTGATAACGGCACTAACTTCATAAGTAATGATTTTGAAAAATTTTGCAATGATTATGGTATCAAACATGTGCCATCTGCTATCACCAGCAATCCAATGGCCAGGTAGAACGCATGGTGAGAACGTTCAAAACACATATGAAAAGGAATATCAAAAGTGACTTTGACATCGCACTTGACAAATTTTTATTTAATTATAGAAACACGCGTAATGATACTACAGGAGTTACACCTTCCAAGAGAATGTTCAATCGAGATATTAGAGTTAAATGGGACTTATTAAAACCGTTGGAAGAGAAGGAGAACAAAATCAACGTTACTTTACCACGAAATAGAACCTTTAACGTAGGAGATTTTGTTTGGTACAAAGTACAAGGTGATGACAAATGGTGTAAAGGCATGGTCACACACAAAGAAAGTAACATGATGTTCTAAATTAAGACATATAAAGGTATTTTGAGAAGACACTTAGATCAATTAAGAATAAGAAATTGTTTTAACACACTTATTAATTATGACTCTATTTCTAAGGATTCTTTTAAGGAGGGATGTGTGGACAAAAATATAAAAATTACTGATAAAAATGTAACACCGATTTCTAGACCTATGCGAATTAAACAAAAACCTGCTTATTTAAAAGACTACATAACTTAAAATATAAAAATAATAAATATTAAAACGCATAAAGTAAATTAAATACCAAAACGCTTACACTAAAACGGAAAAATGAAAACGCTAAAAATATTATATAACAATCTTATTGATTTATCATTCTTCACTTACTCTTATATCCAGATGAATTATATTTCTAATTATTCGTAACTTATTGTTGATAATAACAATTTTGAAAAATGATAATAATAACAACTGAGTATTACCAAGCAAGCTACATGACAAAATCATGATTTATAAAGACAATTTACGATAAAGGATATCAAGCTTACGATTTAAACAAACCAACGTACAAACACAATAAACGACTTGGACAAGCCAACGATTACGATGACTTATGAAACAACTTGATGACTTAAAACGATAAACCACTTGGACAACAAACTCTCTATGACAGCTTAGAAGCTATGGGAAGACTTCTTTTAGAAGAAGGAGAATGTTGAATAATATGAATTGTATTTTTTAACGCGTATTATTCAAAATATTTTTTTATTTTTATTTTTATTTTAGTTTTACTTTTTATTTTATAGTTAACCTTTTTAATATTATATTCTAATTTTAGTTTGTAAAAATATTATATAAACGATAAGAAAAAGAGAAAATAAACAGATTGAAAAATAATATTTTTACATTTCTTCAGTTATTTTATCTATATATATAATCCTCAAAAAACTTCAATCAAATTTAGCCAATAGTTTTCTTTTAAAACATATTTGTCCAATAAAAATGATTATAGCTTAATCGGTCCAATAGTAATCACCTTACCAAGCTCAGCATTCATACACTTACCATTTCATTCACTTCACATATCAAAGCAATGGTATCCAACAACCAAGTATAATTTTTTCAGTTCTTATATATAATTATATTATTTTTATTAGATTTTTCAATAAAACCCAACTACCAATATAAGAAAAAACAAACCAAGTTAAAAAGCAGAATAAGCAAAATGCATTGTTACCATCATTCCAGAGGTATGTGATGCTATATGGAAAACTTTAAAAGATATTCATATGCCAGTTCCAACTAGAGAACATTGGGAGAAGGTATTGTAAATTTAGATATATTAATATATTTTTAGATTGCACAAAAATATTTTGACCTGGCTCATTAGATGGTAAGCACTTTATATCAAAGTAAATTTTTAATATTAATAAATAATTTTTAATTATTTTAGAGTTAGAAAAACCAATATCAAACACCTTAAAAAACTATGAAACCTTATCCTATGAAAAATACCAGTCCAGAAGCAAAACATTATAATTTAAGTAGTGATTGAATGCACATTTGGCATAACTACTGATAAGTTTGCCATTAATTCTAAATCTATAAAGTGTTCAGTTGAAAATGCCTGTAAAATATATTATTGATTATGAAAAATTCAAGAGGAATAAGATATTTATTTAAAGACTATTTTAATTCTTGAATTTATGTATAAATTTAACATTTGATATCATTATATATTAAACTAGCTGATAGCCCATCAAGATTAATGGGGAATAATTTTCTCCTTTATTCAATGATGGATAATTAGAAATTTTCCTATTTAATGGGATCTTATTCAGAAATTTATATTTATTAAGATCAGGGGTTATTATAAAATTTTTCTAAAATTGCAAATAAATGAATAAAAATTTCGTTCAAATGATTTTTTATTGTGCACATAAATTAAAATTACTAATGATGGGCTAAATATAATTAGCACTGCCTAACCTACTATTGACTCTTAACCAAGTTCAAGAATCTATGAGTCATAAGTATGGATTCTTCCTTTTATCTGACTATTTAAATTTTTAATTTTTATAGGTAAATTTTAACTATATAGATGAATAACAATAAAAAATACAATCTCTTTCACCTAATAATCCTATCCTTTCAATAAAAGAGGTAACCTTATTTTCCATATTCTTTTTAATTTAATATTCATTTTTTTTAAAATTGAACCAATAAAGGATATGTAATAATTTGTTCTATTAAGCACTAACAAACCTATCATTGAACCCTTAACCAATACAAAAATTTTCATGACTCAGTTATATATTTTCAAACTCCCCTTCAAATTCGCCAATATTTCCTCTATCCTCGGTAACGGATACTTTACTTCAACTACCCACGGATTTAATGTTACTCGGAAATCTGCACATAATCTCAACTTCCCATTAGCCCTTTTCACCGGTACTAAAGGTGTCGCCCACTCGCTATATTCGACCAGACATACAATATCCTCCTTTACCCATCTATCCAACTCTTGCTCTACCTCCCGCCTCCATTCAAAAGGTACACGACGTACAGCACAATACTTCGGCACACATCCATCCTTCATCCGAATCTCTACTTCATAACCCTTCAAACAACCCAACTCTTCCCCAAATATTTCTCCATACCTCTCCACTAACTTCTCCACCTCCTTTCGGACATCCTTTATTCCCTCTCCACACTCCCACAAATTTTTCGCAACTCCCTGTTCTACAAAATTCTCACCCTTCTCACTAACCAGCGGCCTCAATACTCCATGTCTACTGTCTTGGACATTTCCTATTTCTCCATCTACATATATCGGACCTCTCCCCAACATATCTTCCCTCGCATTCTCTTCGCTTTCCCCCCAAAACATAGATCTTCCCTCGTCTACTTCAATATTATCTCGGCCCTCCATCCATTCCAAATTTCTTCCCGACATTCTCTCCTCCTAATTCTCTCGGACCATATTTATCAAGTCTTCCCGAATATCTTCTTCGATCGCCACAAATACTCCCCATCGCGCAAATACTCTCCAAAATCCATACTCGACCCCACACTTGTAATCCAATCCCATCCCATCACCGGCTCAACGTCTCGGTTTATTATCCATAAGTCCAACACTTTACATCCTCCTCTCCCTACATCCCCAATATGCACTCTTCCCATCATCTCCATCTCCGATCCATCAAACTGCCTCACTTGCATAACGTCTCTAATTATTTTACTACCCGGCCAAAGTCTTCTAAAATCCTCATATTCTATCACCGAAATAGCTGCTACGATATCAAATAACATAGATACCATCTTCCCGTTGATATCGAACCATACCCTCGGACTCGGCAGATACGTTAACTCCCTTTGAACCTCCTGCTGCAACATTTTAACTCTCAACTCTTTCTTGCCCCCTCCTAACGCCACGGTCAACATTTTACTCTCCTTCCCATCATATAGTCAATCTTTATCACAATCTCTGGCCCAATGTCCTCTTTCTCGGCACTTGAAACACGTCATCTCCTCTTCAATATCCTTTCCTCCTTTTCCAGCTATCTCCGTCATACTCCTCATATTCACGGCCCCCGAAGTCTCTCCTCTCTGTGGAAAACATACCTTTCCCACTCGGCAATCCTTTAACACATGTCCAAATCTTTCACAACCTGCGCAACGTATTCTCTCTGCTCTGCCCGGACAATATGTCGAAATATGTCCCATCTCCCCACACGCAAACATTTGACATCTCTACAATTCACCGCAATATGACCCATCTCCCCACATTTATAACATCTACCATTCCGACCTCTCTGTCCCCCACTGCTGAACGGCCTCGGCATGTCTTGACGTCCACGGTATACGTCCAAATGTCTGTCATCTATCCTCTCGTTCTTTAACCGGTCTATTTCTTCATTATTGTCCGAACCCTTCATTATTTTTTGAAGCGGTAACCACGTAATTCTCCCCAATCTATCATCCTCTCCATTGTGCCCTTCTACCAACAACGATTGCCCACGAATCCTAATACTCCTTTCTCTTCGCATTCTCCTTCCAAAATATAAACTACAGAACCATATCATCAACACTACCACCGCTCCCAGTACATTATATTGCAACTCCACATACTTCGTAATTTTAAAACTCTTCATTAAAATATTTATGTATTTAAATTTTTCCTAAACTATTTCCCAAGTAACTCAATCTAGCAATACTATATTTTATAAAATATTCACAAAAAATTAATAATTAATTTCACCAAAAATATCTTAACTACTTGTAACGTCAGACAATAAGATAAAATCAATAAGGTAAAAACTCCAATAATACACATATACATTTATCAATTTCAAAAAAAAAATCAATACTTTCCGCGAATCTTTAAAATCTTCCGTGTATTGACGTCTTTTGAAAAAAATCGGCAGCACTTCCGTGTAACTTGCCTTCTAATAAACTTTTTCGGATTTTCTTCTAATAGATTTATATAGGCAAAAATTTGGGCAGCACTTCCGTTTACTCTACCTTTTTAGTAAATTTTCGGATTTTCGTCTAATAGATTTATATAGGCAAAAATTTTGGCAGCACTTCTGTGTACTCTACGTCGTCTTGAAAATTTTCACTTGACGGTCACCTCTTTTGACGGTACTTGTTCTTGACGGTCCCTTATTACACACAGTACTTGTCCTTGACGGTACTTGTCCTTGACGGTACTTGCTCTTGACGTTGACGGTACTTGTTCCTGACGGTACTTGCTCTTGACGGTACTTGTTCTCACAAATTGACGGTCTTATCCACCACACCGCTCCACAAAAATATTTTCCCAAAAATAATTTATAAAAATAATTGTTTTTACCTTAGCTATTTAGTCACGGCACCAACTATTACGTTGTGACCGTGTAAAGTTTTTCTTATTCGATTGTTAAAATTTTCCACCACAATGATTTCGAGTAATCCCAACTTTATTTCAATCCAATAAAAATAAATTTATAATCAAAAACCAAAAAAACAATAATTTTATAATAATTAAAACGAAAAAATTAACTGTTAAAAAAAAATTAATTAAAAAAAAATGAATTAAAAAAAGAAATGAATTGATTATTTACAATTTTCGCTTCCCTTCTATAGAAGCAATAATCATCACAAATAAATAATTAAATCCTATCATCATAATGACTTTACAATAATTAACTTTTATAAATCTAAAAATAAAATGATAACGCGATTAAACTAAAACATAAAATTATAAAAATAACAATGACTCACCAATTTAACTAAAACATAAAATTATAAAAATAAAAATGACTCATCAAACGCAATACATACTGAGACTGACTTTACCAAAAATCAAATTTTACAAATCAAAGTCTCCCAATTATGACAAGTTGCTTTCAACTATTCTTTTGTAAAAAGTTAAATTTAAAAAAATTAATATTTTAAATAGCAATAAATAATAATTAAACAAAAAAGTTAAATTTAAAAAAATTAATATTTTAAATAGCAATAAATAATAATTAAACAAAATATAAAACCTTTTTAGAAATGAGAATAGTTGGAGGCAAATGAATAATATAATCATTTTGTTTGTATAGATGTAAATTATATTTTTAAATTTGATCCTTTCTCTGTCTCTGTTAGATTTAATTGAAATGGACTTATCCTAAAATAAATAGAAAATAAGATTGGATTCCTAGGTATATTGCTTATCTATATAAAATAATATAGATAATTTAAAAAATATATAAATAACATAGTAAATTAATATGTTACGCAAAATTAGGGTATAAATTTACTCATAAGATGAAGTAGCTATGATTTTTACAAATGATGATGGTGAACCCCCATTTAAACGGGATATCAAGGTCTATCCTCGAGTTGATGGTAGTGATCTGATAAATATAAATGGTAAAGCAGTAATATATATTATCATCATCTTTTCAAGGTTCTCAAAGAAATATGCGAGAACACTATCACGATGCAATGGCCATTGTGCTCAAATTTGGCAAACCTGATTTGTTTATTACTTTTACATGCAATCCTAATTGGCGTGAAATTAATGAAAATCTATTTCCCGGGCAAAGTCCTAAAGATAGACCAGATTTAATAGCCCGTGTTTTTAAATTGAAATTAAATGAATTATTGTTCGATATAAATAAAAAAAATTTATTTGGTAAATCTATGGCTTTTATATATACAATCGAGTTCCAAAAAAGAGGTTTGCCTCATGCCCATATACTTATTATTTTAAACGATGATAGCAAAATTGAAACATCTCAAGCTATAGATTAATTTGTTTGTGCCGAAATGCTAGATAAAATTCTCGAACCTAAACTTTTTCAGATTGTTACTCATTTTATGATACATGGTCCTTGTGGGATATTTAACCCTAAATCGCCTTGCATGGAAAATGGCATATGTACCAAAAAATTTCCTAAGGATTTTCAAATGGAAACAAGACCAAATATTGATGGGTATCCATATTATAAAAGGCGAGATAATGGTATTACAATTCTTTCCGGTAAACCTACGGATAATCGTTATGTTATTCCATATCATCGATATCTAATGTTAAAATTCAATGCTCATATTAAGGTGGAAATTTGTACATCTATTAAATCGATAAAATATATCTTTAAGTATATTTATAAGGGCTATGACTGTACTAATGTTGACATTAATGTTGCTTCAAATATAAATATTCATGACGAAATTAAATCACATTTAAATGCGCGATATGTGAGTGCATGTGAATCAATGTGGAGATTATTAGAAAATAATATGCATGACCGCTCGCACGCTGTTATTTGCTTAGGAATTCATTTACCTTTACAACAGAGAGTATATTTCACTGCTGGACATGAAAGAGATTGAGTACTTTTAAAGAGGCAGATATTAAAAGAAATTTGTTATCGCTTAGAAGAGGGATCAAAATATCAAATGCCGTCACAACTTCGGAGTACTTTTGCCTTTATCTGCATTTTTTGTCAGCCTGAAAATCCTGCATATCTATGGAATACGTTCAGATTTATGATGATTGAAGATTATTTGCGTCAATATTCAGAAGTAATTGCAATAAACATGGCTTTAATGGACATTGAAAACGTTTTTCTTGATCATGGTTTATGCTGTCAAAGTTTTGATCTTCCTTCACCTACAAAAATCCCCCCAAAACAACATTATGATGCCTATGTTGAAGCTGCCGATTCAATCGAGCGTATATCTAAATTAAACCGATTACAAAAATATGCTTTTGATTTAATTATACAAGCGATTGAATTAGAAAATATTTCAGAAAGATATTTCTTCGTGGATGGCCCTGGAGGTTCAGGTAAAACGTATCTTTACAATACCTTAATGTGTTATATAAGAGCAAAAAATCAAATTGTATTGCCTTTTGCAACCACCGGCATATCCTCTATTCTTTTAAAGGGGGGAAGAACCATTCATAGCGGATTTAAATTACCTGTGCCTATCTTTGAAACTTCTACATCCCATATGAATTTACATAGTTTGCTAGCTCTAGATATTAAAAATAGCAAATTGATTATTATTGATGAGGCTACAATGATGACTAAACACGCTTTGCGATGCATTGACCGATTACTTAAAGACATTATGAAAAATTCCCACCCATTAGGAAAAGTTATTTTATTAGGTGGTAATTTTAGACAGACTTTATCAGTAGTGCCTAAAGGCCCCAAAGTCGATATTATAGAGTCCTGTATAAAAAGTTCAGATTTATGGAGTCATTTTAAAATAATACATTTGATTTTAGAATTTCAATTTACACGTTTTATTTCAGGTTATTTACGGCAAACTACGAGCAAGGAAATTACAACATCATCTTCAAAAACGAAACCACATTGAGCAAAGAAAAGAGAACTTCTTCACCATCGCTAAACCATCTTCCTCACCAACAACAGTAAATTCTATTTTGTAATTATTTACACGTTTTATTTCAGGTTATTTACGGCAAACTACGAGCAAGGAAATTACAACATCATCTTCAAAAACGAAACCACATTGAGCAAAGAAAAGAGAACTTCTTCACCATCGCTAAACCATCTTCCTCACCAACAACAGTAAATTCTATTTTATAATTTCAATTTACACGTTTTTTTTCAGGTTATTTACGGCAAACTACGAGCAAGGAAATTACAACATCATCTTCAAAAACGAAACCACATTGAGCAAAGAAAAGAAAACTTCTTCACCATCGTTAAACCATCTTCCTCACCAACAACAGTAAATTCTACTTTATAATTTCAATTTACACGTTTTATTTCAGGATATTTACGGCAAACTACGAGCCATGGCAAAACATTAACAAATAAAAGTCAAGATACGGTGATATACCCGACTAATGCTTAAAATTCTTACATCCCTCTCAATTTTGAAAATATTTTAAATCTCCTTTTTTAGGTAAAATTTTCTATGTTATAAAATTTATTATATTATATTTTTTATATGGCTACAAATGCATATGTGTTGTAACCCGATAATCATCAACTCTTGAAGTATAAATATTTATTATATTTTCTTATAATTCATATCTTTGTCTCTTTTTTTCTATTTCTTCCTTCTTTTTTCCATTCTTTTTTTCATTTCTTTGCTCCATTAAAATCCATCTCCTACCTTTACGCGGTGGGGAGTGAACAGCAATTCTGACTAACAGGAGCTCTGGTAAATAATGTTAGTATTTAGGGTGCTAATAAGAGATATTGTTTTATTTTTGTAATTTTAAATATAAATTTCTTAATCACATCTCAAATTATAATTCCCCGTCATTCTTGACGGGTGATCAGTGTGATGCTAATATGATATATTTTTTTCATTTTTGTAATTTAAAATATAAATTTCGAAATCACATCTCATAAAATAGGAAAATTTCTGATTCATCCATCATCAAATAAAGGTAAAATATATTATTCATAAATCATCGAATAAAAAAGACAATTCATCACTCTTAGTCTTAATGGGTTGGAATTGGCCTGAAGGGGGAGGGGGAGGGGTAAAAAGAATTATCGTAAAAGAACGAATAAAATTCTCATCCCCGTCATTTTTGACGGGTTATCAACTAGTATATATAATATAAATCTCTTCTTTGGTTGCTTATATAGCAATCATATGTCTGATAGCAATAGAAGTAAAAAATTGATTTGATTTAGGAATATATAGAAAATATTGAAATTGGTTTTAATAGAATTTTACATGATTAGCTATTTATTTAAATAAGTTTATAAGTGTTACCAAATCAACAAATAAATCTCTTTATTATATTAATATTACAAACAATCATTGATTGATTATCAGATTCTCTTAAATTTTATTATCACCAAAATATGCTAATAATTTTGTAATATTTGTTCTTTTATATGATTCTACTTTCTTACGAATTCCTTTAAGATCAAGTTAATTAATAATATATAGATAAAATCTATTAAAAGGAGAAAAACATAATATCGTCGCCTGAGAATTATATTATTCTATTTCCACTTTTTCTAACTGTACAGGAGAGCAATTTTATAAATACCTTATCTGTATTTTGAATATTAGAAATTTATTATTTTTAATTTAAGGATATATATATTTAATAGTTCCTCATCCCTTAATTATATAAAATACCATGATATATTTTTTAAAAAATAGTTTTTATTATTATTCCTAAACTGGAGATAGAATAAATAGCAAATTTTATTTATATTACTTTGAAAAATATTATTCTATCTCCAAACAATTTCTCTATAAATCCAAAAATATTATTGAATAATAATAATTACTAATGTAAACAAGACAACAGATGCAATTTATTTTTAAAATTTTAATATAATATTTTAATGGATTGGATAAAAATGCATATTATTTTTCTTTAATGATAAAAATTATTATTTTTTATTTTTTGGATCAGTAATATCAGGATCTTTTTATAAAACCAAACATAGGTAATCTTATCTTATCTATCACGTTGGTCATAGACCTGCCCAAAATGAGCAAAAGGGAATTGTATGAAGGCCTACACCCTTCATATTATTATGCCGATTTTTTTCTCAAGGATATCAATAAACCTTGTACCCAGTTGAAATTTAACAAAGTAAGTGGAACTTACCCATTCTGTTTTTGTACAGTTTGACATAGTAGAGAGTAAAATAGAAGGAGGCAAGAAGGTAATATATAAGAAAATACCGTTTAATTCCAAATACAATTGTCTTTTATTAAATTAATTTTCTAAATTTTGTAAACTTTAAGTAAAACTTATAATGTTAAGTGTTTTATTATTATTTATCAAATTGAATTTAATGATGCTTAAATTCTATTAGGTACTATAAGTTTTATTAGAATATTTATTAGTAAGGAGTTATTATTTATTTCTTGTTGAGTTTGGTGTTTAAATTGAATTTGATAATTTATTTACTAATTATTAGTAAAACTACAATGACCCAAAAATAGGATATCATACTTAATTTATTACACTTAGTAATTAGGTGATTCATGTTGAATTATTAGGTGTCAAAAATTCTATTTAATAATTTATTTACTAATTAAAAGATTACGATGACATAAAATATAGGATATCATACTTATATTTAATTTCACTTAGCAATGATATGATTCTTATTAAATTATTATGTGCTAAAATTCAATTTTATTATTTATTAGGAAAATGCTACAATGACATAAGAGGATGTCATACTCCTAATTAATTTTACTTAGCAATGAGAAGTATACATAAGATCCGACAAGTGTAACTTCCCTACAAGTGGAACTAGGTTTCAAAAAAAATACGTAGAACTGGAATTTGGACTAAAGGAGAAACGCTAAGACTAGAAAATAAAAGTAATTAGAGAAAATAACCATAAAAGTGTAATTGAAAACAAATTAACTATAAAGGTGAGCGTTCGTAAAACCGATATTACTAGTAGTTAATAATAGTCTAAGAATTAAAAGAACATTTCCATGTAGAGTGTAGGGGAACTTTCGTTAAAAAAAACCTCCTTTTATAGTTTTATAACTCACTGTCTTAGGAATTTAAAAAATTTCTTAATAATGAAAATTATTTACTATTTTTTACCACACTTAGTTATTTGTCATATGCTCATATATAAACCTCAGAATGATCTTGAAAGTTTTCTTATCCATAGAAGCTCTCTTTAAAAATTCCTAGCAACTCCCCCAAAGATCTTGTTATTCTGCCAAACCAGCTACTTTTATAGGAAGTGCTTTGGAACTGACGCATTCGGGGTAATGTTTACAAGTGCTTGATAGATAAAGTTGTTAGGAGCATGTCTTAAAATATGACCAACCAATTCGATTTTCCTATATTCTATCATTTTATAGAGAGGAAGTATATCACATCCATAGGGTATAATTTTTTGTATTTATAGGGTAAAATGTTCTAGTAATATATCTGATGCATTTATTTACAAACGTTTGCGTCTTTTTATAATTGTTATCCTTCCAAGTTTTCATACCATAATACAGGTATGCAATTATTAAAACTTTGAAGTGTCTTATCTTTAAAGAAATTGATAATTAGTGTGATGGCCAAATTTTCATGAAGGATCTGTATTTTACCCTAGTTTTATTTAACTTATCTATCAGATCTTGTTTAGTGTTCCCTTTCCTATCTAGTAAAACACCGAGGTGTAGAATGAGGTCATCAATTTAGTTTTTTTATGTTTTTAAATCAAAATATTCAGCCTCAATGATGATACTATCAATTACTGATTGAAGATCCGACACAGATTCACCTATCAGGCATAAATCGTCTGCAAAAGCTAGAATATTAAGCTTGCCAATTGTCCTTAGAACCAAGTTTGTAGCTTTAACTTTCATTATGTTATAATTAGTGACAAAATTAAATAATAGAGGTG